CTGGGGTGAAACATCCCTGAAACCCAGCTTGGGCACAGCTGGGGTGAAACATCCCTGAAACCCAGCTTGGGTACAGCTGGGGTGAAACATCCCTGAAACCCAGCTTGGGTACAGCTGGGGTGAAACATCCCTGAAACCCAGCTTGGGTACAGCTGGGGTGAAACATCCCTATAAACCACCCTGAGCAGAGCTGGGCTGAAACGTCCCTGAAACCCTTCCTGGACATGGCTAGGCTGAAACATCCCTAAAAAACACGCTGGGCACAGCTGGGCTAAAACATCCCTGAAACCCACCCTGGGCTCCTTCAGACAGCCTGTGCTTCCACTCTAAAACACGAACCAGCTCTTGCCCCACATCCTGCCCACTGAGCCTCACCCAGGGATGGGGAATCTCCCACCAGGCAGGTCTGCCCAGCCCAACGCCCACAAACTGCACCCGGACCGAGCAGATCTGGCACCAAAGCTCCGTTTGGCCACCCCAATGCCCTTCCCGTGGTTGTGGATCCTCCGGCAGGTGCTTCCCGCTATTCCCCATCGCTGCTTTGCCATCTGATGGCAAAATTCCGCACTGCAGCTCGCAGGGATGGGGCGGCAGACGCGCAGGCTTTGGAAATCGCCTTTGTGGAAAACCCCTGGGGAAGGTTTCCACCGGAGCAGCTCTGTTTTCAGCTGGAATTGATGTTCAGCTTTGTGTCTCCTGGATAAAGATTTCCTTTTCCTGATGCAGAGTTCAGCTTGCAATCAGGACTGTTTTATTTCTCTTTCTATAAACTCTCTGTGCTGTAATTTCCTGTGGCTGGGAGAGACCCAGACCACGTCCCTTCACTTCTCCTGAGCCCACAGGGCTGAATCAGAGTCTGCTATTGATCAGGAATTACCTGGCTCCATTTTCAGCACCCCCACCTATTGATAAATGGTGAGGAGCCTCCAGGCTGCTTCCCAGCTCTTGTCCACATCCTTCCACAAGCAGGTGGATTCCAGGGGGTGAGAAGGAGTTCCACAATCTATTTTGTTCCATAAAACAAAAAGCCACATCCACTCTGGCCGTGGGGGTCGGTTTGGCCATCTCCAGTTTGGAGATCTTTCTTCTGGAGGTTCCCCCAGGCTGAGTCCAAACACAATCCGTGCTCATGATTGCACTGGGAATCAGAATTGATGTATGGCCTCTTCCAGACACAGCCAGAAGATGGGAGAGCCAAACTCCAGGAAAAACCTTCACCTGAAATTGATTCAGGACCGAGACCTTTATCCAAGCTCAGATCCCTCCTGGGATTTGGGATATGTTCAAACCTAATGGGAGAGAGGCACAAGAAAAAGATGCAGGAGACTGAGACAAACCAAAATCCCATTACCAGAGTGGGGGCAAGAGATCTGCACCCAAACTTTGCATCCACTTTTCTTATCAGTGCTGGGAGAGAAGGAGGAAGCTGTCAGGAAATGCTGCTGTGAGGGGGCAGCACCAGTGCTGGGCTTGGCCTCTGACCCTGGGGCAAAAGCAGAACCAAAGCCATGGGAACACAGCGGGGGAGAAGCGGCTTCTGTGCCGGAAATTGCTTCAGAAAACAGAAAAAAACCAAGGGAGAGGAACAGGAATTCCCCACATGGAGCTGCAAGGGGCAGAGGGCAACAACAGGTTCAGAAGGCAGCGCTCAAAGCACCTGAATTCCTTGGGAAGACACAGGCTGAGATTGGACATCAGGAAAACTCCTGTGCAGGAGGCTGGGGCAACCTCAAATGGGTGTCTGGAGGGGTTGGGAATCACCTCCCTTGGGGGCTTCTGGGCTTGGCCAGACAAAGCCACAGGCAGCCTAACCTGGTGTAGGAGAACACTGTGTTTTATGGCGACCACAAAGATCCCTTTGAGCCAACAGCCAAACATGAGCCATCAACCAGGCACCAGCCATCAACCAGGCACCAGCCACCAACCAGAAACCTGGGCACAAAAACACAGCAGCTGCAGATCTCATCCATGGTGGTGGTGTGGAGAGAAGAATCTGAACCATGGTGGGGTGTTGAGGGGAACACCTGGACCATGGTGGGGTGTTGAGGGGAATGCCTGGACCATGGCAGAGTGTGGAAGAGAACACCTGGAGCATGGTGGGGTGTTGGGAACACCTGGACCATGGCAGGGGTGTGAGGGGAACACCTGGACCATGGTGGGGTGTTGAGGGCAGCCACTGCTCCCTGCCCCAGCCAACACATGGTCCCAGTGGAAACCTCTCAGCCTGGTTCTGCAGTTCCTCTGATCCAAGGGGTGGTGGGCGCCAGCCCCCAAAGCAAATCCTCTTTTCCTCCCTCCCTGGGTGTGGTTTTAGCTGCTTCCCCCAGCAGATGAGCAATGAGCAATGCCCTGCCCCAAACACCAGCAGGTGTGGGGCTGCTGAGGGGTGGCTGATGTTCTCCAGGGAATGAAGCCCTGGAAACCTCTGGGAAAGCCCACATGAGGCACCTGTCTGTGTTTCACAGCCCCTGAACCCCAGAAGTCACCAAGAGCCGTGTGCTGTCCCTCCCCACACCCCACACCAAACTCCCTGGCACAAGCAGGGTTGTTTCATTGTTTACTGACAGGGATGGGCTCCTGTTCCAGGAAAGCTGCAGGTTTACAGCCCTCCTGCTCTGTAGGGAAAGGCAGGTATTGCTCCAGGGGTACATGAAACCTTCCTAGGAGCTTTCCCACTATCCATCATTCCAGCCCATCCCTGCAAAGGCGCCCTTGGATTGTCACCCCCCAAAACCCCTCTGGAGCTGCTCAGGGAGGCACAGGGAGGGTTGAGGGCTTTTGGCAGCTTCCCAGCCAGGAAAGGAAATCCCCAGCCAAGCCCAGAGTGATCTTTGGTCATCATGGGAAAAGCAGGTGAGGAGAGGTCACCCCACACACTCCCTGTGAGCACAGCACAAGAGCCAGGGCCACCAACTGTCACCTGCCCCAGCAAACCAAACACAGGTGGAGAAGGGATCCTCAGGAGCCATCAGGGCTGGTTCTGTTGCAAGAAAGTGGAGGGGAAAGAGGAGATCTGGAGAAAGGCACCCATGGGTGCATATCTCAGGAGCGGCACAGGGCCTGGATGCTACAGCTCCCAAGGAAGGAGATCTGCTGTCCCACCAAAGCTGAAGGATTTCACCCCGAGAAAGAGTTGGTTTGACTCTTCCCTGGGACAAAAAGCATCCTTTGGGGAGGGAAGGACGAGGTCTGGGTGCTTCACTGCCCCTCCCTGCTGTGGAGCATCCCCAGCTGCAGCTGGGTGGGTGCTGGGAACCTTCAGCCCCTCTCCTAGCAGGGACTGTGCCTCCCTTCCCAGCCAGGATCTCCCCCAGGCTGTGCCCTCACGCTCATTTCCCCAATAGAGCTCCTCATTTCCTCCTCCTCCACCACTCAGATTCTCAAGCCCCTCTGTTCTGCCACTGAGCTGGTGATTTTTGCTGGAAGTGAAATATTTCCAGAGATGTTGTGTCACAGACATCTTTTCATTAAAATCCTTTCTTTAGGATTTTTCTCCCTTCTGAGAAGCTGTGGCCTCAGCAACAAAATGTAAACAATGGTTATCTGCTGCTGTGGAATGCAACAGGTGCATCTGTGATTGGTCTCATGTGGATGTTTGGATTTGCTGATCACTCACGGCAGAGCTGTTCTCGCTCTCTGCTGAGACACAGACCTTTGTTATTCATTCTTTTCTATTCTTAGCTTAGCTAGCTTCTGAGAACTTTTCTCTCTATTTCTTTTTAGCATAGTTATAATGCAGTGTATATATATAATAAAATAATAAATCAAGCCTTCTGAACATAAGGTCAACATTCTCACCTCTCTCTTCATCCTGCAACCCTTGTGACCGCTGTCACAATATTGCCCTGCTGAAGCTTTGCCAAGCAGCCACCGCCATCCCACCACTGTCTCTTACTGGCTACTGCCCACATAGCACCTCAGGCTGCAGGTGTGCAGTAGTTCTGCAGGACCAAGACCAGTTACAGCCAAAGGAACTGTGGTTTCAGGTTGGCGGTAACCAGTTTTGGTGGAAACTTCATGGTGCAACCACATGTTTTGTGCTGTGCTCACCCATCAGCTGCTGAGCGGCTCACACTGGTGGCCTCTGCCTTAGCAGCTGCCACAAGATGTTGGGGAGGAGATCTGGGTGCCCACATGAGCTGTTTTACATGAGGAAAGATTGGATTTCCCAATTTCAGACCTTCAGCAAGAAGTGAGATTTTCACCCTTACAGTCACAGCATTTTATTTCCTCTGTGGAAAGCAAAGTGAAAATAGTAGTGGGTATTTTCTGTTTTCACACACACACACAGACACGCTGTTCACTTCAGGTATTCCTGCTTCAAACTCAAAACAAATAATCACATATCTGACCATGGGTGGGGTCATATTTGTTACTGGCTTCATTTCTTTTCACATTATTTAATCACAAAATTAATTACAGAAGTCGTTACCTGGAGAGAAAGGATTTAAAGTGAACACCAGTTATGGGCAACCATGGAGCTGCAGCCAGGCCTGATCCAGGCAGGTGTTTCAGCACAATCCTGACCTCAATCCCAGGAGCAGCCTCACAGGAGCAGAGGTTGCAGCACGCACCAGGTTTGCAATGTGCCCTCGCTCACAGCTGGCACAGCTCCCACTGCCCAAGCAGAGCAGCAGATGCTCAACCCAAACTTCTGCTCTGCTCATCTCCCTGGGAGAACAGAGGGATCCTTTCCACAGGTTTGGACCTTAAAGACAAGCATCAAAATTTCACAGCAAAAATATCACATTTCCTTCCAAAGAGCAGGAGAGGAACCAGAGGAAGAGCAGCCCACACATCGCCCTGTGCTTTGGGGCTGGGGGCACCTTCTGGGTGTGCTTTGCTAACAAAACCCCAGAGATGGCCCAGTTTGGCTCACAGCAGGCTTGGAAATCCAGGCCAGCTCTGTGGCCTTCTGTGCAGGAGAGGCAGGAGACACCAGCACTGCCCAGCAAAGCACAAGGGTCCCTGTGATGCTCTCAAGTGAGGCCTCCAAAGATTTACTGTGCTGAAACCTCCACTGGGTCTTCCTTCACATCTTCATGGTCCTCATTCTCCAGCTGCTCCAGTTTGCTGGATTTCTCATGGACAGCCTCCCCAGGAGTCTTCAAAAACCTGAAATAGATTTTTGTGGTGACTTTAAGGGCATGTACAAACCCAGCCCCAAACCAGGCTGCAAATGCTGGAGCCTTTGCCCTCAACAAGGCCAGGTTGGATAGGGCTTGGGCAGAGCAACCTGGGAGAGTGGAAAGTGGATGGTAGGGGTGAAATGAGATGAACTTTGAGGTTTCTTCCAAGCCAAACCCTTCCATGAGTCTGTGATCAGCGGAGCTCTGGAGCTCAGAGGGGATTTGCCATCCCTGGGCTTTGCTGAGGATCCCAGGAAGCCCTGAGGTCCCAGCTGGCACAGGACACAAACCCACTGGGGTGTGGGCAGGGGAGGATGCTGCTGGATGAAGCAGCTGCCAACATCTGGATCTCATCGCCTTCCCATGCCCCATCCATGCCATTTCTCTGCTCTGCTTCACCTCACCTGAACAACAGCTTCTGCCCTGGCTCCTTCTTGATGATGTTGAGTTTGTAGTAGTGTCTGAGAGCTCGTGACATCTTCTCATAGGTCATGTTCATGCGATTCTGGAAGGAGAGAAGGATTGTAGGGTGTTGAGCAAAAATCCCAGAGCAACAAGTCTTGCTCTGGGTCTGTGTGCAGCAGGGCCACACATGGGACATTTGAGGAGGTTTGGGGCACTGTGGGTCTGTAGTGTGAGTCCCTACCCCAGACTGGCTTCATGGTTTCCTTTCCAACAGGTAGAAAGTCCCACTTTAACCACCAGGCTGGCATCTCCCACTAACCTGTCAGGACCCAGGACATCCCTCTGGCTGTCCTGAGCAGCCCAGACCCTGCCAGGGGGCTCAGAGACCCTGGCACAGAGCCCGAAACACCTGTGGGGGTTTGATTATGACCCATGGAGCAAATTACCAACCTTAGATGAAGATCTGCAAGCCACAACAGTTTAGGTAGAATATTAGTGAAGTTATCACAGGGTGGAAAAGTAGATTTTGGGGTTTCTGGTATGGGAGTTCAGGAGGCAAGATGGAGGGAACTGGGCATGTCCAACATTTCCCCTTCTTCTTCTTGCCCTCCATCTTCTGCTGTGATGGTGGCACTTTTAGATTGGTTTAGAGTAGAAGCTCACTGTGTAACATAGGTGATAGGTATTGGGAAGTAATTATAAATATTGTACAGGTAGTTTTTAGTATAAAGACATAACACCGCCCTGTGAGCAGGCAGAGTGCCTGGAACTGTCCTGCTGGACGGACCTGGGCAGGGCAGGAGAAAGAATTTTATAGATAAGATACAATAAACAACCTTGAGACCGAGAACTGAGAGTTCTGACTCCTTCTTCAATCGCTGGGCTGGGAAAAGAGACTTTCCAACTTTTCTCAGGGTCACTCTGACCAGCAAGAGATCCCAACATTAACCCTACACCCCCCATGTCCCCCTCCCCAGCCCTGAGCCATGATCTCTAGGGAACAGCTCATGAAAGGCACATGCAGGGATGCCAAACTCCTTCTCAGGGATGCCAAACTCCCTCTCAGCTGCGCTTACCTTGTGGTTGCCCCAGAGCTGGGCCAGCCCGTTGGGGTTGACGACGCGGAACACCTTGGCCTCCCTGTCCTCCCACCTGATGTAGGGCTCGTAGCGGCGGTCGGCCAGCAGCTGGTACACGTACTCCCAGAGCAGCCTGCAGTCTGAGCAGGGGCAGCTGCTGGGCACAGAGCGGCCACCCTGCCAGCCTGCCCCAGCAGCACTATTGCACATTTAGAGCAGCAATGTCAGAACCCAGGTGTGGAACTCAGTGCATCCCTCCAGGTGCTCAGAGCTGCCCAGGACCCTGCTGGAGGCTCAGAGCACACAGCCCAGAGCACCTGGGGATTTGATTGTGACCCCTGGAGCAAGTTACCAGCTTTGTATGAGGACCTGAAAGTCACAGAAGTTTGAATAATATAATAATAAAATGATCACAGGGTGAAAATGTAGATTTTAGGATTTTTAGTATGGGGGTTATGGGGACAAGATGGAGAGAACCTGGGCATGTCCAGCCTTTCTTCTTCTTCTTCTTGGTCTCCATTTTCTGCAGTGATGTTGGCACTTTGGGATTGGTTTAGAGTAGAAATTCACTGTCTAACATAGGTGATGGGTATTGGGAATTAAGTGTGAATATGTTACACGTAGTTTGTAGTATAAAAGGACAACACAGAGTGCCTGTGGCTGCCCTGCTGAGCAGATCTGGGCTGGGCAGAAAGAAAATGTTATAAATAAGAATTAATAAACAACTTCAAGACCAAAAACTGAAGAGCTCTGACTCATTCTTTGGATGTGCGGGCCAAAACAGAGACATCCTGCACATCTCAGGGCAGCAATGAACAACCAAAAACCTGAGACCCAGGAAATTCCTCTGGCTGCCCTGGAGGGCTCCAGCCCCTGCCCAAGGGGCTCAGAGACCTTGGCACAGAGCCCAAGACCCCTGTGCCTTTGGTTTAGCCCTTGGAAAAAACAATTACCAACCTTTATACAAAGAATTACAAGCCAAGAGAGTTTAAGTAGAATAATAGTTGGTCACAGGGTGTTGCCCTGATTTTTTAAGAATTTCAAAGCCTTCTGATGTTCACATTCTTATAGCAAACTTTCTCACACATTTTCTATAAATAACTTGTTGATTTGCATTCTTTTATAGAAGAGAAATTTGATGGGCTGTTGGTTTGTCCAGTGTCATTGGAGAGATGGCACTTTCACCCTCCAATCCACTGTCTCTTTTAGAAAACTATAAATATTAGAGCCAGGAAATAAACTTCCCTTTTCTTCTCACCTTGAGAGCAGCAGTGTGTGAGCTCGTGTTGTTTCATGTCCTATAGTGACATCAAGGTGAAAAATAGATTTTTGGGGTGTTTTAGAATGGGAGTTCAGGGGGCAAGATGGAGGAATCTGGGCATGTCCAGCCTTTCTCCTTCTTCTTCTTCTTGGCCTCCATCTTCTGGGCGATGTTGGCACTTTTGGATTGGTTTAAGGTAGAAGCTCACTGTCTAACATAGGTGATAGGCATTGGGAAGTTACTGTAAATAATGTACGCGTAGTTTTTAGTATAAAAAGACAACACCAGTGTGCCTCAACCCGACCTGCAAGACAGACCTTGGTGGGTCAGAGAAAGAATTTTATAGATCAGAAACAATAAACAACCTTGAGAAGGAGAATAGAAGAGCTCTGACTCCTTCAACTGCCAGGCTGGGAAAAGAGACTTTCTAATGTATCTCGGGGTCCCTGTGACCAGCAGAGATTCTGAGATGACAATTGTCATTGCAGTCACTGTCACTATGACAATTGTCACCAAATAACTTGCCACAGACACGCAGCTCTTCCAAGGTGAAAAAAGAGTTTTTAATTGCTGACTCTAACATTTATAGATTGCTAAAAGTGACAGTGCCACCTCTCCAATGACACTGGACAAACCAACAGTTCGTAAATTTTTAGTCCTCCATAAAAGAATGCAAAACAGTAAGTTATTTATGTAAAGAGTGTGAGAAAGTTTGTTATAAAAATGTAAACATCAGAAGGCTTAGAAAAACTTAAAAAATCAGGGCAACACAATAAATATGAGAAGAGCACAGAGCTCAGGCACAGCACTTTTACTGTGAGATCTCAGAGCAATTATAATTTTTCAGGTGGGGAAACTGAGGTGGAAAAGCACGGAGTGAGGGGAAGGAGACAGATGGGCAGACAGGACAAAGCACCATCTCATTTCCCCAAGGAGCGAGGCTATAAATTCATAATTACCTGCAATTTTCCCATCCACTGGGGCCGACAGGGTAGCAGGGAAGGAGCAGATGGCACCTGGACTCTCTGAGCTGTGGTGGGAGAGGTTCAGTGGCTGCCTGTGGCTGTGGAACAGGGGCTGCTCTGCACAGCCCAGCCACGAGGAAACAGCTGGGGCAGCCTCAGCACTGCAGTCTGCACCTGCAAAAAAAACCCTAATAAAATAAACCCCTAATAATCACCCTGTGGTTCATTAGGGTCCCAGACCTTGCACAGCCCTGGAACAGGAGGGGAGGGACAGCCCGGGGTGGTTTTCAGGTGGGATCAGCCCACAGAGGAGGAGGATGCTGAGGAAAACCTGGGATTTTCCAAAGGCTGGAGCAGCACAAAGTCCAGGGGGGTTAGAGGAGATGTCAGGTAGGGTAAGGGTCAGATGAAGAAGAAAAACTGGTAGAGGAAAATGCCCCAGAGCAGAGGAACCCCCTGGTAAATTGTTGTGGGGACTTAGCATGTTAATTACCAGTAAAGAGCCCAGGAAAGTGCCCTCAGATCCACCTCCACGCACATCCAGCCTCTGACACCCATCCAACCCACCCTAACTCCTACCTGGGCCCCCCAAGGGCACAAAGCAGCCTCACTGCCCCCCACCAACCTCACCTGGGCCCTCTGCCCACCCCCTGACCCAGCATCTCTGTGCAAGCTCAGCCCAGCTCCTCAGCCCTTTCCATGCTGCAGGACTGATCTCCAGCAGGGCTGTGCCTCTGCCTGGCTTTGACCCTCCCTGACCCAAATCTCAATCTGCACGTTTCTTAGGGAAGTCACAGCATTGCCAGTTTGCCACAGACCCCACAGCACTGGCTCTGAGCTGCTGCATCACTACAAACTCCCCAGCTGGCCTGGGCTTTGCTGGGCCTGGGTGCCTCTCTCAGGGGGTGTGGGCTGGTTTCAGCAGGCTGAGCTCCGAGCCCCAGGTGTGTGCAACCAGGCAGGTTCTGCCTGCTGGACACTGCTGCCCTCCCAGGGTATTTTTCCCCCACCATACCTTCCTCTGTGCTCCTGGCTTTCCTGAAGGGCGAGTTCAGCAAGGGGCTGCACACCAGAGCTCTTCTCTGAGTTTTAATGAACTGGAGGATTTCATACAGCACGTCCCCTGCAGGGAGGGAAACTCTGCTCAGATGCCTTCAGATAATGGTTTGAATAATGTTGCTGAAATTCTGAACTACAGAGTGTGGGTTATTCCCCATCTCAAAGTGTTGGAATGTTGGGGGACACAAGACAGGTGATGGACTTTGGACCTGGTTAACAAAAGAGGTTTGATAACAGGATGCCTTGGCAAAAACAAATGGAACTTCGAAAATTAGACCTGGATTGCAAGAAGATTAAATCAAACAGGTTACCAGAAAAAGAAAATCCCATTAAACTCTGCAAGCAGGAGATGTTGTTATTTGCATAAGTTTGTGTATGTGATTTTAACCTAATCATTGCAGGACACATTACTAGTCTCCCTGAAATAGTACCTAAGTGTTTGTATCCCATAATAAAATGGGATTCTGATCACCAAGTCAGTCTCCCTGTCTCTCTTCATCATTGACACCAAAGTATTTGCGGTTCAGATGGACCAGAGAAAGGAAGAGCTGTCCTCATCTCCAGCTCAAAACCTGCTCTGCTGGGACCCTCTGAGCTCTCTCAGCAGAGCACTCCCTGTGCTGGGATGGTGCTCACAAACCCCTGGGTCCAACCTGAGCTGAGCTCAGTGTCTGAAATCCTCCTTGGTGAGGATACACAAGGCTTTGCTGCTCATTTCAAACTTAATAGCCCATGGATACCCTTCACTCAAAGTATCAAGTAACAATGAGCCTCGCAGAGTAAACAAGAGGATCAAACACCTATAGTGCTAGCAACACATTAGAGAAAATTAAATAGAAAAATAAACTTTATCTGTTTTTTAAGTTACCCATTAACTTGACCAATGTAAGTTTCTGTGGCTTCCTGGAATGTACAGCATATGTACTTTGCATGATGGAAAGACAATGAACAAGCAGAGACCTGTGCTCCTGCTGCCCAGTGCTGCACTCCCTGGACTTCACTGGCTTTGATGCAGGATCCCCACCTTGTGCTGGGATGGTGCTCACAAACCCCTGGGTCTCACCTGAGCTGGGAGCTCGGTGTCTGAAATTCTCCTTGGTGAGGATACACAAGGCTTTGCCGTTCATTTCAAACTTAATACCCCATGGATATCTTTATTTCAAGGTATCAAGTAACAAAAAGGATCAAACACCTATAGTGCTAGCAACACACACTGACTTTAGAGAAAATTAAATAGAAAAATAAACTTTGTCTGTTTTTTAAGTTACCCATTAACTTGACCACTGTAAGATTTTTAAGGTTTCTGTGGCTTCCTGGAATGTGCACCACGTCTACTTTGCATGATGGAGAGACAACTGAACAAGCAGAGACCTGAGCTCCTGCTGCCCAGTGCTGCACTCCCTGGACTTCACTGGCTTGGATGCAGCCACAAGAGTGCCTGGATCCCCACCTTGTGCTGGGATGGTGCTCACAAGCCCCTGGGTCTCACCTGAGCCGGGAGCTCGGTGTCTGAAGTCCTCCTTGGTGAGGATGCACAAGGCTTTGCCGTTCATTTCGAACCTGCTCTGCTCAGTGGGCCGCAGGGAATACTCCCTCTCAGCCCATCGCAGCCAGTGGATCACATCGTCCTTGCTCCACAGGGAGGGCTGGATTCCTGAAACCAGGAAAACACCTCTGTTCTCAAACTGCTGAGTGGCAGGTGGGGCTTCTTCTCCATCACCAAACTTTCCCTCTGTATTAAGTACTCATGGGTCAAAAACACCACAAAGAGAGAAAATGAACCCTGAGGAAGCCTTGTCCCCCTTGCCAGCAGGGAATGGTCCCTGGGTGGGACACTGTGATGGTATTCACAGGGGTTTTAGGATGAGGGAAGAGACGAGGATCTGACTCCATGTTTCAGAAGGCTTGATTTATTATTTTATTATATATATTATATGAAAACTATACTAAAAGAATAGAAGAAAGGATTTCATCAGAAGGCTAGCCAAGAATAGAATTAGAAGGAATGATAACAAACACTCTGTCTTGGACTCTCTGTCCGAGCCAGCTGACTGTGATTGGCCATTAATTAGAAACATCTAACATGGGCAAATCAAAGATCTACTTGTTGCACTCCACAGCAGCAGATAATCATTGCTTACATTTTGTTCCTGAGGCCTTTCAGCTTCTCAGGAGGAAAAATCCTAAGGAAAGGATTTTTCATAAAAGATGTCTGTGACACCATGGCTGTGCCCACCCTGTCCCACCCCCTGGCAACTCCTTTTTGAACAGCACTGACTTGCTTAACCTCTACTCACTCAGCCTCCCTGGAAGTCGGAAGATCTGCCCAGTGCTGATGGGTGAGGGTCTGGCCTGGAATGAGGATGGTACTGACACGGCCACCACGGGGCTGGAGGAGCTGATGGTCACCTTGCCCTGGGGAAGAGATCAGATACATCAGTGGGGAGAAATTCTGGTCCTGCCTTTGCTTTGGAGGTGCCTTCATGTCCTGGATTGCCAAGCAGATTGTGTTTATTTGCCATCTGTATGGCAGCTGGCTTCTGTTCAGTGGGCACTTTTCCTTATCTCTTCCACACCCACTCCTCTCTCCAGGGAGACATCTGCTGATAACAGCCATTGAATGTCACTGCCTGGCTGATAAGAACTACAGCATCCCATTGGGAGATGTGAGCCCAGAGGGAGGAGCCAAGCATTCCTACCCGGATATAATCTGGAGATTCTGGAACACCAGCACAGCTTCTCCACTGGATTGCCCAGAGGAACAGCAGCTGCCTCTTCTTCCCCTGGATCTTCAGAGGCAGAGACTGCACCTTTCTCCAGGATCCCTGCTCCAGCAGAAGCAGCCCTGACACTGCAGGAGGGCTGAGCCACAATTCCAATGGGACTGCTGCCAACAGCCTGACCCACAGGGTGTCAAGTTGGGTTCTGACTCTGTCAGTGTTGGTTTGGTTTACTGCATTGTTTATTTTATCTTTTTATTTTCTTCCCTAGTAAAGAACTGTTATTCTTGCTCCCATATTTTTGCCTGAGAGCCCCTTAAAATTTATAGCAATTCAGAGGGGAAGGTTTACATTTTCCATTTCAGGGGAGGCTCCTGCCTTCCTTAGCAGACACCTGGCTTTCCAAACCAAGACACCCCACCTGCTCCAGTATTTCCTAACTGGTTTCTCGTAGCAGTGTGATGTGATGTGACATGTGATGTTTTTGTATTAAGGATGAATGAAGTGACAAAACCTCTTAGGTTTTTAGAAGGTAAATGTAAATTTTATTAGACACTATTTATTCTTTTATAGATAACTATGATAAAGTTGGACTTGATTGGTCTTTAATTAATACTCTTTATACTATTGGTTAATTAGGAATAGTACCCTTCTTGTAAATATTTTATAAGTAAATGATATGTTTAAAACACTAGTTGTAAAGATTAAGGATTGTGTTAATTCTTCCTCTGAGCTTTCTCAAACTTCCCAGAGTAATGCTTGAGAAAGTTTATCTGATTCTTTCTCTGACCAGACTTTCAGCAACCACAGATGTGATGTGTTGTCTACAGCTCTTCCTCACACTTTTCCAGTCCCTGGTTACCAAGAGATCCTTTCTCCAGCTCTTTAGCAGAGGAACCTGCCCTCATTCAGGCTCTGGATGGGGATTATCCATCCCCACTCCCCGTGGCTGCAGGGAAATGGGAGATGGAGCTGAGGCTGGCAGAGCCTGCAGTGCCTGTGCTCCTGCAGGACCCTCTGATGCTCGATGGATGCTTTTTAGAAGGTTTTAGAAGAGCAGTTCAATTCTTTAGAGCTGTTAAAATAAACCTGGCAGCAGTTTATTTGGTTTTGTCTTGAAAACACCATATGGAGAGGGATCTCTCACTCTGTCCCCAGGGATCATTTGGGCATAAGTGGGAATGGCCATTCCATGGTTTAGGGGGATGCAAGCTCCTCTTGCTCACTCTCCATGGAGTTCTGGCCCCCTCAGGAATTACTTTTCCCTCTCAGCCAGGGCATGTGAGCCAGAAGGGAGCTCAGATCCTGCTTCCAGCCACATCCAGATCTTGAAATATTACTGGCAGCCAAGCAGATAATGTTTCCCCTTAAAAACCTATTAATGTGGATCCCAGCGATTTCTCAGCTTCGCTCACTGGAAAATTAACAATTTTGCTGTCAAATGGTATTTTCTGAAGCAGTTACCAACTCTGAGCACTTCAGGCTCAGGCAGGTGATTTAGAGCAGCCACCCCCTGACTGTGTGTGCAGGCAGAGGAGTTGAGCCCTCTGAAAATGAAGGGTGAGGAGATGGGAGCTGGACACATCTTAAAGGCAGAGCTGAAGCTCCCAAAATCAGGACAAGAGGAGACAGGAGCAATACAGTGCATCAGTCCAGGGGAAAATGCTTCCCTGGGAGTTACACCAGGCTGATGTGAAGATTGCTGAATCCTGAATTCTGAAATTCTGAACATTTCAGAATTTTCCTTCTGAAAAAGAAGGACAGTTTCGTGGTCACTGGATTGGATTTAAAAAGCAGGCAGCTACATGACACTGCATGAGGAGAACAGTGAGACTCCAGAATAAACTCTGAGCAGGCTTGGCAGCAACACAAACTGTCTTTCAGATTCACTCTAAGCAACAAGCTATGGGGAAAATAAAAGTGAAAGAAATCAGCAGTGTATTTTGTCTAGAACTCTCTAAAAGTTATTTTAATTTTCTCCTATTGTTGTGACTCTTTTACAAACGAGATTTACAGTAAAACCAGAACAAATCTGGTATTTTTCTTGCTCCTAAATATTTATAGGCCTTGAGATACATTCTGAATTTTTATTATGTTATACTAATTTTATGTTCTTGCTTTTGTCCCTGCTTAGCTGCTTTCAGACTTTTCTGAGACGGGTTTTTTTTTTGCTTCAAGAGGAAATACTGTCCTTGGGGGTGTTTGAGTGGGAAAGTGAGAAAAAGCAGGGTGGAAAGGAACCCCCAGATGTGTGAGAGGAGCTTTTTGCTCAGAACCCAGTGGGTGAACAGAGGCTCCTGGCTGCTCTGTGAGGCTGTTTGGAGGTGGGGTAGGGGCTCACCCTCCAGGGCATGAACTTCCAGCAAATTTTGTGCTGGTTTAGGGCAAATTTGTGAGAAATGAGCACCATGAGCCAACACATACAGCAGCCTTATTGCCACTTCTACTTCCATAAATCGTGTACCCTGCCAGTTTTGAATGCAGTGTTAAAAACTCTGCAGATGCCAACAGTAATCCTGGTGAAACCTGACAAAGCAACAGTTTCAACTGTTTTCGGTACTCCACAAACATTGCTTCATCTTCACCCTCATTTTCAAAATTATACTCTTCATTATATATCAATTTCTTCATAGCATCCAACACGATTTACCTCTACATTATTAGCTTTTTGTTGTTCTGCCAGTCTGAACGCACAGAACATCACACCCAGCATAAACACACGAGTGGGGACAGCAGCATCTCAACGAGCCCGAAGAGAGGAGGAGAAATCCCGAGAGGGGCCGGGAGGAGGGAGGACAGGGACCGGGGCCGGCTCCTACCTGCATGGCCGGCCCGGTGCGAGCGGAGCCCGCCGCGCTCCGCGCCCGTCCCCGCGCCGCGATCCCGGCCAAAAACGAAATCGAAACGAGCGGGAGCCCCGGGAGGCCGGAGAGCAGCGGGGGCAGCGCCCGGGGCCGGGTCCTGCTCCCCCCGCCCCCGCCGGGGAACCGCGGCTCGGCTCGGCTCGGCTCGGCTCGGCTCGTCCCGGCCGGTACCGGCACCGGGGAACCTCCTGCTCCCCTGAGCCCCGATCCGCTCGGTACCGATACCGGGAACCTCCTGCTCCCCTGAGCCCAGATCCACCCGGTACCGGTACCGGGGAACCTCCTGCTCCCGGGGCTCTGCTCCGCCCGGTACCGGGACAGCATCGGGGATCCTCCTGCTCCTCTGAGCCCCGATCCGCCCGGTACCGATACCGGGACAGCACCGGGGAACCTCCTGCTCCCGGGGCTCTGCTCCGTACCGGTACCGGGACAGCACCGGAGAACCTCCTGCTCCCCTGAGCCCTGATCCGCTCGGTACCGATACCGGGAACCTCCTGCTCCCCTGAGCCCTGATCCGCTCGGTACCGATACCAGGGAACCTCCTGCTCTCCTGAGCCCGCGGCTCGACCCGTTCCACCCGGTACCGGGACAGCACCGGGGAACCTCCTGCTCCCGGGGCCCCGCAGGCGGACACACATCTCCTCCTCCGGGAGGACGGAGCGATCCCGGGACACGCCGGGAGCAGCTCCAGGAGCGGGGTTCGTCCTTTCTCTCCCCCAGGGGGAAAGCGGAGCAGCGGTCCCGGAGCAGCGGGAGGTGGGAGCACACCGGGAGGTGCCCACCGACACCGAGCACAGCCGGGGATGTGTGGGCACACACGCTGTGGGGTTACACGGGTAACTGGGATGGGCTTTGAAGGGACTGGGAGGGACAAAAAGTACACTTTTAGGAACAAAATGGGCACTGGGAGGCGACTGGGAGCGACTGGGGGGTAATGGGATCGACTGAGATGGACTGGGAGTGACTGGGATAGATTTGGAGGGCACCGGGATCGACTGGGATGGACTGGGAGTGACTGGGATAGATTTGGAGGGCACTGGGAGGCGACTGGGATGGACTGGAAGTGACTGGAATAGATTTGGAGGGCACTGGGATAAGACTGGAATGAACTGGGAGTGACTGGGATAGATTTGGAAGGCACTGGGATACACTGGGAGTGACTGGAATAGATTTGGAAGCCATTGGTATACACTAGGAGTGACTGGAATAGATTTGGAAGCCATTGGGATGAGCTGGGAGTGTCTGGGATAGACTTGAAGGGGATTGAATGGGATTTGGGAGGGATTGGACGGGACTGGGAAGGACTGCGAGGCACTTTTAGGGACAAAAAGTGTCCTAAACTGTGGACTGGGGGGTGGACTGTTAAGGCACTGGCATAGACTGGGAGGGACAAGAAGAGCACTTTTGGGGACAAAAGGGGCACTCGAAAGGCTCTGGAACCACCGGGGGGGCACCGTCATAGACTGGGATATACGGGGATGGACTGAGAGGGGACTGAGAGAGCACTGAGATAGACTTGGAGGGGGGTGGATGGGACTGGGAAGCGCTTTTAAGGGCAGAAAGGGGCTGTGGGAGGGAACTGGGCGGGACTGGGCTGGACTGGGCGGGCTCCGCTCCCGCAGGCACCGCCCCCTTGCGCCCCGCCCCCTCCTCCTCTTTTTATTTCCATTGGTCAATTAGGGAAGCCAATCATGGAGCTGGTCCAATCCCGTGGCGGCGTGGGCGGCGGGCGAGGCTCAGCGGCGGGGCCCCGCCCACCGCCCGCCTGAGGGAGCGGCCGCGGCGGGGACGCGGTGAGTGAGGCCTCGAGGGGCGGGGGGGCGGCCGCGGACCCTGCGGGGCTTTGGGGGCTCCTTCCCGCTCTCCTCTGGCCTTCTGGGGGTCTTGTCCGTGCTCTCCATGCTTTGAGGGAGGTTACGGGCCTGGGAGCGCCCGCAGTGCGCTCTGTGTCCGGAAAGGGGCGTTGGGGGGGGAGCTTTCCTGGCGCGGCGGGCACAGAGGAGAGCGCGGGGCCGAGAGGGGCCTGGGGGTCACAGGAAACATGGGGGAGAGGGCTGAGGGGCTCGCTGGGGATCACACGGGGCTCTGTTGTTGTGAATGGGCTTTGGAGGGGGTTCGGGGGTGTCTGGGGATCACAGGGGACAGGGATGAGGGGTCTGGGGGGATGTCTGGCTATCACAGGGGATGTGGGGCTGGGGGGGTGTCTGGGGGTCACAGAGGATATGCTGGAGTGGGCTGTGGGGCTGAGGGGGTGTCTGGGGGTCACAGGACATGTTGAAGGGGCTGTGGGGCTGAAGGGGTGTCTGGGGGTCACAGAGGATATGCTGGAGTGGGCTGTGGGGCTGAAGGGGTGTCTGGGGGTTACAGAGGATATGCTGGAGTGGGCTGTGGGGCTGAAGGGGTGTCTGGGGGTCACACAGGATATGCTGGAGGGGGCTGTGGGGCTGAGGGGGTATCTGGGGGTCACAGAGGATATGCTGGAGGGGGCTGTGGGGCTGAGGGGGTGTCTGGGGGTCACACGGGGTATGCTGGAGGGGGCTGAGGGGGTGTCTGGGGGTCACAGCAGACTCTGTTGTTGTGAATGTGCTTTGGGAGGGCTTTGGGGGCTGCTCTGCTGTTTGGGGACACAGCATTGTGTGCACTGATGGGAGCCATTTGTGAGGATGGGGGTGCTGCCACCTTTGTAGTGTTTACTTACAAAGGGGGTCTTTGGGGCTCTCCTGCACTCTGTGTTTGGTGGGGGGCTGGGGCTGTTATCCCTAGGTTGGCACTGCATCCTCGTGTTCCTGAGGTGTTTGCATTTTCCTGGGCCGTGTGCGAGGCTGGGGCTGTGCCCAGTGCCCTGTGCTGTGCCCACCACCCCCAGAATGGAACCAGCCTCCCCTTGGGGTGCTGACTGGACACACACCACTCTCCTACACGTGTTCTGGGGCTGAAGGCTGGTGCAGTGTTATTCTTAAACGTGTTTTTAGGGTTGAGTTAACCTTCCTTTTCATCCCTCCTTTCTGGCCCCACTGTGCTTTGGAAGGAGCAGGAATTTCTAAGGGGTTTTCCCCTGAATGGGTGAGTGGGTAAGACCTCAGCCCACCTCTGCTCATAGGCACATTTTTATGTCAGCTGTGATCCTGCCTGTCTCTGCTCTGCCATCTCAGTGACCTGAGGCTCTTCAGGGAAGGGATGATAATAATGCAAAGTCTTGGGTATGAGGTTTAATAAGACCAAGGTCCAGGTGCTGCATCAGGGTCAGGTCAACCTCCAGTATCAATCCAGGCTGGGAATGAAGAGCTGGAGAACAGCCCAGGGAGAAGGACTTGGGCATGAGTTGCTTGGACATGCCCTGGTCAGGTGTGTTGGACCCGGAACCCCCAGAGCCCTGGGCTGATCCCCCAGTGTGAGCAGCAGGAGAGGGGAGGTTCTGCCCCTCTGCCCTGCTCAGGTGAGACCCCACATGCAGAGCTGGTCCAGCACAGGAAGGACATGAAGCTGTTGGAGGAGACCACTGAGATGATCAGAGGGATGGGCAGCTCTGCTGTGAGGAAAGGCTGAGATTTGGGGTTGTTCAAGAGAAGATTTGGGATGACTGTAGTGTGGCCTTCCAGGAGCTGAAAGGTGTCTGCAGAAAGATGGAGAGAAGCTGTTTAGAAGGGCCTGGAGTGAGTGGACAAGGGGGAAGGGCTTCACCCTGACAGTAGATTTAGATGGGATATTGGGAAAAAATTCTTCCCTGTGAGGTTGGTGGGGACCTGGCACAGGGTGCCTGGAGAAGCTGTGGTTGCCCCATCCCTGGAAGTGTCCAAGGCCAGACTGGACAGGGCTTGGAACAGCCTGGGACAGTGGAAGGTGTCCCTGTCCATGGCAGGAGCTGAAACAGGATGAGCTTTAAGGTCTCTTCCCACCCAAACCATTCTGGGATTCTGTAAACCTGGGTGATTGAGACCCTCTGTAGGGAAAGTGTTCTCCACCCAAATCACGTTGTAGCTGTGGACTTTGGCTTTAAGGCAGAAAGTTCACCTGTGGCCCCTGTGAGAGCCCTGTCCCCACCTGAGCCCAGCCCGTCCTGCTGGCATTAGCAGCAGTCACAGACAGCTCAGGGCAGGGAAGTTGTGTCTGGGATCAACAGGAGCCCTGAGCTTTCCCTCTCAGGTGTGTCCTTGTTTCCCCTCTGCAGGGGCTGCACTGCTCACAGTCACCTGGCTTGGAGGGTTGTAAATACCTCAGGGCTCAGTGCTCAGAAGTGTTTTCAGTGATTTGAGCATCAAAACATTGAATTATTTGGGTCAGGAGCTGTGGGTTAGTGTGTAGGCAAAGCTGCTTGTGAGAGTTATTATTCTCCAGACTGGATTTCCATGTGCCTTTATTGTTATTCTGTTTAGCGAAGCAGCCACCTTCTGCTAAAATAAATACACTGTTTATAGCATAACTCTGTATTTCCATCACTAACAAATGCTCTTTTGCAGAGCAGCCTGTACAACAATTGTCTTTATTTTCCATAATAACATCCATGCTCTGATCTCATGGCTGAAATGCAGTAGCTTATGTAAACCAAGGGAAGCCTGTGCAGAAGACTCTGTCTAGACTCACTGCACCTTATCTTAAAGCAATTAAAGACAGGTTAAAGTAAGTTCTGCTGTCATGGAAATAGGCATGTGCTGGTTTGTTGGTGTTTGTTTCAAAACAGATTAATTTGCAGCACGTGAAATGCTTCTTGATATCTTTTGATGCTGTCTTGTGCTGCCAGAATTAAAGGGGATGAATTTTATGTTTGATTTGGGCTTGAAAAGAATGAACTTTCTGGTAGGAGTTCATGACATCATTTTATTTTGGGGGAGCTTTCTGTTTTGTAGTTCTCTATAAATGAGTGGAGTTCAGTGAGCTCAGTCAAGCTGCAGGGGCAGCTGGAAGAAGTTGGAGGTGAAATTACCAAAGTGGTTATTTCTATCCTTCTTAACAGTGGTGAGAACCAAGTAACAAAGTCATCTGAGCTCTTGGATGTAAAGTTCATGTACCTGCAGACAGAGAGAGTGAATATGGAGTTTTCTTGGGGTTGTTTATTTTCTGGAAAGGTTTTGAGGCAGTTCTGGAGTGGCAGATGAGAGTCATTCCAGAGCCTCATCACTGGCTGTGCTAACAGAAATGTATCATCTAAAATCCATCTGGAGTTGTTGGATGTGTCCAGTATAAATCAATCAAAGTTACACTTTGTTTTCCTGTGCTCCAGAGCTGTCCTTACCTGAGCTCTGATGACACCAGTCATCAATATTTGCATCCCCAAAGTATTTTTAACCATCAGGCTTGAGAAACTCTCTTACTTCAGCTGATTTGATCATAAATCTGATATTACCTCAGTCTCTTTGAAGTACCTTCATGTTCTGGCATGCTCAGAATCCAAGAGGTTTCATAACCACTTGCTGGGAGTTTTCTGTTCAGGATATTGTAACATTTTTTTGTCTGGTGACTCAGTCTGTCCTCACAGGTCATGAGAAGCAAGAATCATCATCTCATTTATCAGTTGGTACTTTCAGCCCTGAGTTTGGGCCATGCCAGGATGTGTTTGTCACTCGACCTCATCTTGAACTCATTCCATGTGCCCAGGACAGGCAGCCAAGTGTTCAGTTCACTGTGTCGCAGTACATTCACAAGAATCAAAGTATAATATTGCTGTTAATTCTGTTTAAACACCGGAAAATCTATAAGCAGAACATTTGGGTGTAGAGAAAAGTAAACAACATTTCATTTTTTTGCTGCAAGGCTCCAGTGCTGTAGTTAACAACACCTTTGTCCCCCTTTGCCAAAAGCTGTCATCACCAAGGGACATTGGCCAGGCAGTGGGACTGGATTGATAATTGCATCACAGAGCTGCAGAGTCTGTTTGGAAAGTCACAGCACAGTGAAAGGCCAACTCAGCAGCCAAATGTGGGGGAAGGAGCCTTGCAGCACTCCTGAAATAGCACCTGTGAGCTCTCTCTTTGGTGCCTGTGCTTGCCAAAGCCACTGTCGAGAATTCTTCCTCCTCCTAGAAAGTCAAATCCTGCCTAATTAATGCACAGTGAGTCTTCTGAAAGCTTCAGCTTGGGATGGACTCTGCAACTTCTGTGTTCTGCTTGGGCATCCCAGAGGAGTGTGGGGATAATGAGCTCTTTCTTTACAAGAAAAGTGCTGAGTTGGTGCCTGCTGATAAAGGTCACTTGAGCTGTCTAAAAGATCTGATTTTTAAATGAGTTTCTTAATAAAAAGTGAATTTAGCCAAAGGATCAGTGCATTACTGGCTAATTTAACCCACATCCAGACAAGCAGCACAATAAACACCTTTTCTGTGGGGGGGAAATGTAAAAGGATGGGGAGCCATCAGCATTTTTTTTGTTCATTTATTCATAAATAGCATAACTAGAGCTAAGTAAAGTATAGAAATTACCAATTTGGTGTTACTAACATTTTTGTAGAAACAGTTTGATTGCAATATCTGGTTTTTGGGGAGACCTGGCCAGGCTGCTGATGAAAGCCACTCTGATTTCAGGTTTCTCATCCCAATATCCCCTCCAATTCCAGCATGACAGTGGGGTAGCACTGCTGGATCATCTTTGCCAAGGTTGGTACAGTTTTGGGTCTCTGGCTTTTGGATGGCTTTGCCATGGGAATTGTTCACTGTTCTGAGCCATGGCAGTGCAGAGAAGCTGGGACTTGTAATCCATCTAGTGGGGAGGGGATGTGTTTTGGGAGTGTTACAATAATTACAGGTGCTGAAGTAGCTGAAATCCTGGAACCTGCCTTCCTTCCCTCTGTCATTCCATCACTTTTCACAACCATTTCTCCTCCAGTGTCTTGCTCCGGTTCAAATTTGCAGTCACAATGTGTCCTCCAGCCTCTTCACTGGCCCCTGTGGGCTTTGGATCCATTTTTTGGA